TCAAGCTCGAAGACTGCCAAGAAGAAGGGATCAAAGAAGAATCCTCCAGCAAACGATCCCAATCAACTTCGGCTACGGGATGAAGCAGAGGAAGACGAGGGGTCGATGGTCTTCAAGACTCCAGGACTTGAACTAGACACCAAGGAGACGCCGCCTTCTGNTGTTCTCGACAACAAATTGACGAATCTCATCGGTCAATTGGCAGAAGCCTATCGGAGCAGGTCTCCGTCACCAGTCTCCGGAGGAAAATCAGAAGAAGAGGAAGTAGAGGTCTCCGATTCAGCATGNGATCCTGAGAAAGAGATCGACGAGGAAGAGGCTGCAACTCAGCAGCTGAAGGCTGTGAAGCTGGAAAAGAGTCTGGAAAAGAAGAAGGGGAAACAGATCAAAGAGCACGAAGACTCCGAATCGAGTGATTCAGAGGAAGTAGGAGCAGGATCTGCTGCTGGAGCAGAATCCATGACTGGTGATGTGTCGTTCTCATCTGACAAGTTCTGCTCAGCCGGTGCATATCAAAGGTACTTTGTATTGAAAAGTCATGGAATTATCGTTGAGAAGCTTGTTGCTTTTGAGGAACAGAAGGAATTTGAGTACCCATCTGTGATAGCTGAAGCTGGATTTACTCCCACGGTCTCGATTAGGTCGGGTTATGATAGGGAAGTGATCAACGAGTTTTATGCTAATCTAGGCGATACAGTGGTACATGATGGAGGTGCTATGGTCTTAGTCAGGGGTCACATCGTGAGGTTCAGTCCTGCTCGCATTAACAAATTTCTGAATATGTCAGAACTGAGCTCCAAGGAGAGGAAANGGGCTGAAGCACTTGACAAGGTGGATCCANAATTTATTGCTGCTTACCTTAAGGGAGATGAATCTCAGAAAAATGTAGTTCCGACTATCAGCAAGCGTCACAAGAAGGCTCCGGCTCTGTCCACAGTTCATCTGTCTCCGAAGTTTGCTGCATTAGCCATTTTGGCAGGGTACAACTGGTACCCGACTACTCATCGGACACACATTGCTCAGTATAGAGCTCTGCTTCTATACAAGTTGGCTCAGAAGGTGCGCGTAGACTTTGGGGCCATGGTGTTTCAGCAAGTCATGGCAATCAGCAAGATTGAAAGAGAGGACAACAAGCAGCCTGATTCAAGGAAGTTGGTGTTTCCACATCTGATTGCTGGAATGATTGAAGATCAATGTGGGGCTGTTACTGGTGAGGATGATGTTGTGATGCTACCCTCGTACTACCAGATGGACGTCAGGACCGAGAAGAAAGAAATAGGAGGAACTAGGACGTCACTGCGCACTCGGGCCAAAGGAGTTGAAATAGTCAAAGAGGAGNTNTTAACCAAGANGAGGTCTCAGCCGCTACTGATTCAGCATGCACTACCGAAAAAAACCAAGAGAGAGCCAGAACAGTCAAAGCCATCCAGATCAGCTCCATCAACCTCAGCAATTGATGTGTCACTTGGCCACATCAGTGTGCCTCAAGGGCAGTCAAGTCGGAGGGTGATCAACAAGGCGCTGTACCAGATCACGTCTGTCCTGCATCAGCTGTCAAGGATAGTTCAAGATGTGCACCAAGCCAATCACAGTAAGTTCTCGTGATCTCNTGTGNTTTCTGCTTATANACTAATGCGTGTGTTTTTAACTTGTGTGCTCCCAAGNAGGGGGAGAAGAAANNGATGCTGAAAGTGGCTAAGTAGATCATGGTTCATGGGGGAGCATGGGGGCTATTTTTTTGTTTTTGGTTTTAAAGATCGGTTTCCGTTATGGGGGAGGTTGCTTTTGGTGTTATGTTTTTNTTACTCCTCGTTCCAAACTCTAGTACCTTATTTGTGTTTGTGTTCATACTTGTAATAACGTTTACAAGTTTATTTCGTATGGATGAGTTGGAATTTGTGTGTGCT